GCAGCCCACGGACTGAGTTGTTAGTCAAAGTTTTGTACGTCTAATTGTAGGCGTCATTATTTGACTGAGCTGAGGGTTTGGCAACCCCAGCTAAGCAAAAGGGTCGCCGCCCAGATGCACGCTGCGGAGTTCAACGCACCGAAGCAACTACTCCAAACGCCTTCCCCCTCCCTCACACAAAACTACAGCTCGTATCCGATTTCTATCTCTATTTCTGCATAGAAGTGTATTCAAACAATTACTATAATTATAATTTAAATTAAAGCTCATCTACTTCGTGTCGCTTTGGGTTTAACGTTTCATTTAATATTTAGCCAAAATGTACTCGTGCCCATAAATCAATGCCAAACAGCAAGCCAGGGTTGTGTGTTTGGAGTGGGCGTGGCTCGGCTGAACAGCGTACACCCATATGAATACTCAAGTGTCTCGACGCAACAAATGGGACAAATTTCCATTTCTATCCAATGCCGCATAAATGGCACATAATTTACGATACCGTTATGAGGCAGCGCAGCGGGCAGAGCTGCTGCTGCTGCTGTTGCTGCTGCTGCTGCTAACCAAACATGCAGCAAAAGCCGTCCAAAATGCTGCTAACAATATTAGTTAGCGTGTGGCAGCAACAACAACAACAACAACAAGTTCTATGGCAGCATACAGTAAAGTTTACATTCATATGTGTGTGTGCGTGTGTGAGTGTGTGTGTGTCGGCCGGCGTCAATGTGTGAAGTAATTAATTACAAAGCAACTGATGTAAATCTGTGTGTGTGTGTGTGTGTGTGTTTGTGCGTATCTCTGTCTCCCTGTGTGAGTGTGTGTGTGTGCTAAGTTTTCGTGTGCTTGGGTGTTGGATTATGATGCATGATCGTGTATATGTTGCGCATTGTCACACGCACACTTGCCCACAGCACGCACAAATACACACACACACACACACACACTCGTACACACTGGGGACTGTAGCGTTATCTAGGTATAGGTATAGCTGTATGTAAGCTGTAACCGAAATAGGATTGATTTACACATCAGGTGAGAAATGAACGCGTCGGAACGCCCAGATGCATTTCATTAATTACCAGCCCAGGGCGAACCGGGCTCCACTCGCTCTCCCCCTCTCTCTCTCTCTCTCTCTCTCTCTCTCTCTCTCGCATTCAAAGATTCACCGGATTTAAGTTCAATATAAAAGCTTTTCAGCTAAAAAAAAATGCTTTATTTTAGCTTTGTAAGGGACATTTGAAAGTTCTCACTCAATTTGTAACGCATTCAAGGAAAGTTCTTTCGGTCTTTCTGAGAATAATCCATTTAAATACACATTTAATATAATTATTATAGATTTTCATATTTTTCACATCAATTTCACTTTTAGCAATTAAGAAAATAGCAAAAATTCACCACACACATTAAATCCCTGTCGTTTTAGAGTTTTGTATACTTTTCGTTATTTTTAATTTCAGTTTTTAATTTTCAAGCAAGTACCATAAATCTTCAAGTTGTTCGCAGGGTTATTTTTTATGCTTGACAATTTAAAATTTTTCTCATAAGTGTTAAATTTATTTTCTAAAAAAATAGCAAAAGTCTTCTACATACCCTGAAAATTTTTTATTTCTCGTCATTTTAGAATTTTTTATAATTTTTCATATTTCTTAGATCAAATCTCCAACAGAGAAATCTACTTCGAGAGTTACTTTGTTTGTCCATCGCGTTTAAGAACTTTTTATAAATTTATTTATCAATTTTAATTTAATTTTCCAAGACTCATTATATGTTTAATGCAAATCATTTAGTATAAAGACTTTTATCAGTTTTATGTGTTAAATATCAATTTAAATTTGCATTTTCCAGGAAACTACTAAAAATCGATCTGCAACATATTTGCGAGATAATTTTATCCTTGGCAATTCTGAATTTATATTTTCACATCAAATTCCGTTTAATTTTGCAATTTAAACATTTTTTTTTAGATTATATTCTAGGAAAATACCAAAAATATGCAATATGCTCGCAATGGTATTTAATGCTTGGCATTTCCAAATTTTCAAATATATATATTTTTTGTTCATTTTCTGTTTGTCAATTTCGTTGCAAATAATTTCCAAGAAAAATAATCGGCTCTGTAATTAATAAGTTGATATAATGCAATCGCATTATGCTTAAATCAATTCCATTACATCAATTGAGGCAGCGTGCACACACCCCCCCCCCCCCCCCCCTCTACTGCCGCAAAGGCACACAGTTTGGGGCACACAAATATATCTCATTAGCACGACAACTGTGGGCGTTGTCTTTTCGGAGTGCTAATTATATTCATCAGTGTCATGAGCAATTCGATTTAAAATGGCGGCTGTGGGTTTGGAGAATATATATTTATGAATGCCCCACACGTGATATACGCGCACACACACACACACACACACCACACTCGCCTTAAAAAAGAATAAAAAGTCGTCACGGCTGCGGATCGCTGCGTGCGAGTCTCTTGGCATGGGGCAGCGAATAGCTGCGGGTGTGTGTGTGAGGTGGGGGGCACATTTAAATTAATCACAGTAAAAGTGAATTGCCCAAAACAATGTAATATCCCGTTCAAGGGCCCCTGGGAGCTGAGTAAGGGGCGGCGAAACCAACAAACAGAAATCTGTAAATGCCTATGCCAGCCAGCCAGCCAGCAAAACCCCAAGCCCCAGAGCCTAGGCCTGAGTCCGTGACGAAACCAAAACATAGCTGTCACTGTATGTGTGTATGTGTGCGTGTGCTAGTTCATGCATGCCAGCTGTATGTGTGTGTGTGTGTGCGTGCGGTTGCTCAAATTAAAACAAAGTGTCGTGCGTTTGATGAAAATGTAACGCGCTTTGGTGCTGCCAATGCGAACGTCGACGTCGGCGTCGCACATAAATGCTAATTGGCTTAAATGTGCGTGTGCACACGTGTGTGTGTGTGTGTCTGTGTGTGTGTGAGTGTGTATGGGTGGGTGTGTGCATGTCCTTTGGGTAAGCTTTTGCTATAAGCGACAGCGGCAGCGGCAGCGGCGACGACTGCGGCTGGCTTCACATTTTCAGGTGTTCAAACTAAAACATTTTATAGTTTGGTTAATTGTCAAAGCTGTGTGGCAGCCAAAAAATACCAAAAAAGAGCAAGAGGGGTCGGTGGGGGGATGCGGATACGGGTGCGGGCTGCCCCAAACCTTTTATGACTTAATTATTCGTCGGGTTTTGTGGCTGCGTCGGCGGTTATTGAGTACGGAACAACATGAAAACTGATACAAAGAAAAGACAGATGGACAGACTCAGAAATAGAGTCGGGCGCAAATGTCGTGTTTTGTTTCGTGACACGAAAGCACGTTGTGCTTGTGCTAAGAAGTTAAATCTTGTTATTGAGCATGTCAACACGATTGGTGTAGAAAATTAAGGACTATAGGTGGGCAATCAAGCAAGTAAAGATAATATCTGTATCAGAATGATTATCAGCAAATGAAATATTTCTTTAAATTAAGTTTCTATCCATTTATTCTTAAAATTGGCCAACTAAACACACTTGGATATATTTGGGACTTGCGCTTTAATTCACGCATAATCATTAAAAAAATATATATTTAAAATATATATACATTAAAATATATATACAAAAAAATATACATAAATATAAATAATAGTCTACTGAAATATTGTAATTAAAAAATATATATTTTTTTTTGTATATTTGTTTTTCCGTCAGTTTAATTTCTTGGGCAAATCCAAATATTGTTATATAGAATAAAAACGTTTTATTTATACAATTCCAAATAAAAGAGAAGTTTTTGTTTACTTTTCAGATTAGTTGGGCAATCCGAATATTAATAGTATTGTGTAAATAAAAATAAAAGATTTCTAAAAACTTCGACGAATTTTTTTTGTGACATTTTAAAGCTATTTTGGAGGAGTAATATTAGAGCGAGTGAGAGAGAGAGAGTAACATTGAGGTTTCGTGCATATCGTGTTTTCGTGTTTGGTTTGCTTTTCAAAAAAGACGACACGCGCCCAACTCTAGAGAGAACTATAAGAGTCGCCTTCAAGTGGAATAAAAAGAACTGAAAGAAATTGCACATAAAACAGCGCAAGAAGCGTAAAAATTGTTTTGTTTTGGGGTGTTGGCTGGGCGGGTGGGGTGGTGTTTTTTGGGGAAATGGTGAAAATTGAAAACAAGTGAAATAAAGTGATTTGGCGTTGCGAGATTTTGTGCGTACGCGTGCGTTTTCTATTCAGCGCAGATTGGTAAGAATTTCGCCTTTTGTGTGGCCGCAATTCGATGGGTTTTTATGTTTATTCGCCTTCACTCCATTACGACTTTATGCTCTTTAGCAGACAATCAACATTGTTGTTGGCTATATCAGTTGTCTTTCGTCTTCTGCTTGGAATTTGACTGAGTGGTGGAAGGTGGCAATGGGTGGGGGGGGGGGGCAATGCCCGTGTAAAAATGCAAATTACAAGTGGAATGACTGAATGAATGATTGTCATTGCTGTGAGCTTTTTGTTGGGAATTTTGAAACGGGCGCTGATAAATAGCAAACGCTTGGCCAGGCTTATAGCTAACACCCCATATATGCCATAATTTATGCAAATTAATTTATAAAAAGGAAATAAAGTTAAGAGAAGAGAAGAGAAAAATATAATATATATATGGCATAGCCATAGACATATTTCACGCAAGTGCGACAATTTTCGCGCTTATGGCCAGCGAAAAGTACATAAATATAGTGCGCCTTAAAGTAGACTCATTTATATGGCTTTATGCGCAATTTCAGGCGCTGACATTTATGATGTATTGTTATGTATGAGTATATATGCATGTGTGTGACTTTATGTGTGTTTGTGTGTGTGTGTATTCATAGCAACTGACATGCGTCTGACGAATGGCTCGCTGACTGGCTGACTGTCCGACTCGCTGACTTCTTGACTGACTAACCTGGCCTGAGGTCACTGGGGCTCAGACATTTTGTATGATATTTCACCTGTATGCTGGTTACGGTTACACTGTCTAGTCAGATGCTAGTAGGCGGCACATTAAATTCAAAAAATGTACAACAAAAATCCGACATAATTTGTATTTCCAACGAATCTGAACAGCTTGCCGCCTATGTGAGCAACGACAGAGAAAACGACAAAAAAAATTCCTAATAAAAATATATAGAAAATTGTACAATGCCTGAACAGCCGAGCACATCCAATCCAAAGCCGACACCGGCAGGCAAAGCGACCAAAAGCACCAAAGGCCCCAAAGATACCAAAGATGCAAAACCCGCTCCAAAGCCACCGGTCATACGCACACCGATGCCCAATACACATGATCGGGTAAGTGGAAAACATATATATATATCTATATCATATCAGTTCTGACTAACTCTTCTTGCTCTTCAGATATGGAAGATCATGAAGATGTAGCACTAAATAGCATCCAAGTTAACGGCAAACTTTTATTTACAGCCTTAACAAAACTAGAGTCATTTCATTTTATATGATAAGGCTTGTTGCTTAGTTTAATATCTGAAGATACTATTAAAAACGAATTGCCGTTAAAACTTGTGTCCTTTATTTGCTGAATAAAGCGCAAATGTACCTAGCAAAAAACCCACTCTTATATTACCCAAGAGACGACTGGAAGGCGCGCAAGGCGCATGCGTGCGAAGTTAAGAGAGAGTTTCCTTTCTCTTCGGCAATTTGCTCTTAAAAGCAGCTTAGAGCATTACTAGAGCAAGTAGTTAAAACAAAAACTAATAGCTGAGATAAATTATTAAAAAGTAAATTAAGCGTAATATAATCGGGCATAGCTAGGCTTTGAGCTGAGAGCTGCTCGAGGCAATTAATATAGATTATTATTTAAACATTAGTTCCGTAACGTTAATTAGCACTTGGAGCTCTATGGGTCTAGTCAAGCTTTGTAAAACACAAATAGCCGAGCACTTGAACTAGTTATTTGTATTTGCATTTGCATTCGCATTGACTCAAGTGCTGTAAGAATCCTCAGCAAACTCACAGAGAGCAAGAACAAAAAAAACCAAAAAAAAAAGAAGAAATCCAACAGCAGGCAGGCAAAGCTAAAATAAAAGTGCTTGGGATAGGCCCACTTCTGGGGCGCCTCAAGCATCATCAAGTCGAATGCAATTTAAACCAAAACAAACTCAAACGCCGAGCCGCAGGCCACAATCCGGCTGAAGACGAGCGCTGGCTAAAACACCACGCCCCCCGCCCCCCTCCGGCCCAGCCGTACCGTATTACAAAAAGCATTTTACTTTCATTCGGCAAAATTGAGTGAAAACGACGACTCAACGACGACGACGACTCCAAATGTGGCACGACACGGAAAATATCCCCGGTTTGGTTGGCGCCGAGCGTGCAAGGATATTCTGTGGCTCGTGCCACTTTTTGCCATTGGCATCGCTCAGTTTCGTATTCGTGTCGGAACGTGGCGCTACACCGTGCTCAAGGATACGCGGCCAGCCAGTACCCAAAACGTTAGTAAATCGCCAAAAAGGGCACAATCGACTTAAACTGTCCACCAAATCTCTGTTAGTGTGTGTGTGCGTGCGTGCGTGTGTGTGTGCGTGTTGTTACATTTTATTAACGTGTGCAGCAAATACGAAAATTTCAAAAAATACAATAAATGCAAAAATTAATTATTTATTTTACAATTTCGTACATATGCATAAAAGCGCCATATCGTTGTATTTAAATGCTGATTGAAATGTTAAACACAGATTAAATATTGATGCAACTGGGGCGAAATATTTGCTGTTATTGCTGCTTGTTGCATTCCAATTTGTAATCTCTTGAAGACCGTGTTCACGCGACGCGAGGCGTGGCAGCTACCCCCAGGCCTTGGCCCTTGGCCCGGCTCAGCAGTTTAAATGAGCAGCCCCTGCTCCAGTCGTGTGCGTGTGGATGACTTTATTAAAAATTGTTAATTCACAACGTTGGCTAAATAAAAAGTATAACGCGCGCGTGTTCAGCTCGGAAAGTATTTTACACGTTGTTCGCGGACATTTTGTTGTTGTTGTTTTTTCACATAAATATCGAATGCGTCGCTCAAGCTCAGCCGCAGCAGACCCGCGACACGCGCTCGTTTATTGTGTTTCCATCTTTGCATTAAAAATATTCGCAATGCACGGTATTTGTTAAATCCTAGCTTAACGCACATGTCCATTTTTCAACGGCAAATTTTAATAACAAGCATACGACGCGTTGGCCCAGCCCCCGGTAATTGTCATTGTTTAACGTGCGGCTTGGCTTGCATTTAAATCACTTCTTAATGAAGTGCACAACATGTAAGTTTCATAATTATTATTCATCATTTTGACATTATGATACCCTAACCATGCAATAGAGTTCTATACATAACAAATCTGCTGCGCTCACCATAGAAAGTAAAATAAATCTATGATAAATGCGCGTAAAAGATAAAAATGAAATAATAATAATATAAAATATATAAAAAATATAAATAATAATAATAATTGAATGATTATTGCTTATTTAAAACTATAAGCCTCACATAGAAACAGGTTCCACATATTTCTGAAATATTTATCTCTCCTTATCTATCTTTATTTTTCTCCCTCTGCAAATCTATTTTTGGAAAAAAACAATTAATTTCCCTGTTATCATTTGTAGCATATACAAACTTCGTCAACTCGATTCATTTTTTGTTCTTTTTGCATTTCCGTTTCCGGCTTTGTAGTAAATCATTTAATTGCATGCGCTTATTTTCAGTTATCGGGCAATTATTTAACATGGCCGCAAATTGAGCAATTCGCTGCTCACTTTTCTTGGGTGCGCCACAATGCCACGCCCACATGCCCTACACACACACACACACCCAGCTTAATGGCCGAACAATAGCCGTCGCCTGGCTGAAGTTTGTGTAATTTTAAAATTCCAAATAAACACCCGAAAATTGTGAGCAAAACGAGCAAATAAATTAATACTAAAAGCCCTTTGTTTGTTTGCCAATAAATGTATAAATAAATATAATACTGATAAAAGTATCAGTATTTTTATAGAGTTTCAATATTGTAATATACATAAATACCATACACAAGAGAATTGACTCTGAGAATCTAAGCACGTTTAAAGAAGTGCACGGGAAAATATTACTCGCATTGGTGCTTGCAACAGAATTTATAGTATTTTTAGTTGAGAATGAGAAATTGTGTGGAACCTGTGCCTAAGTGCGGCAGATACTACATGAGGTAAAATCAGTTAGCTGTCGTTGCATGCATAAAAGGCTCATACAACAACAACGGCAACAAGTCAAAGCATTTGCCGAAAAAAGAAGAAGAAGGAAACCCAAAGGTAAATTCTGTCAAACAGACAGAAAGCCAGGCAGACAGCTGGACTCGGAATATATAGAGGCAGATACCGAGCATTCTAGCCAACTGGCTTATTTATAAGAGCAGAGGGTAAGCACTTTGGCCACACACATGAAAGTGGAAGGGGTAGGGGGTGACTTCAGCTCCTATTCACTATTTGGGGGGAGGGAGGCTTGAGCTGAGCTCCTATTCACCTTTTGAGCCAGCTGCACGTTTTATAATATTTATGCATGTGCCTGCCAACTGGACCAGCACTCATGAGCTTCTGCCTGAGAGGCGGCTTGAAAAAACGCAGCAAACTAGCGCTCAACAGTGTGTGTGTGTGTGTGTGTGTGTGTGTGTGTGTGTGTAGGTATGCATACAACGTGCCTGTCTGCTCGCCTTGTAGTATATTGCCAAAAGTAACACTCCACATATTCAAGTGGGGCATTTTCGGGGCGCTGCATATTCAAGTGGCAAGTTAGTAGGTGCATCTAGAAATTACATTTAAAACTATTTTTGGGGCTTGGCATGCAACTGAATAAATACGTCGGTAGGCAGGGCTAAGCAAACATGAAAACCAGATGAAAAGCAGGCGGCCAGGGAGCTCTGGCAGTAGCCAGGCAGCGGGAATAGCAACAGATGCCACAACAATTGCCATTTAAATGGACAAAATGAAAGCAACAACAACAAGAACAGAAGCAGCAGCAGCAGCAGCAGCAACAAGAATAACAACAAGTTGTGCACACAAACAAATGCAGGCGCACACACAGGACAACAAACAGGACACGCATGAAAATGAAATCGCTCAGCCATGATATGAGATAGAATAAAATGTAAATGACATACATATACGCATGGTTCTTTGCTTGTGTGCGTGTGTGTGTGTGCAAACAAAAACAAACAAAAAATGCTCAACCAGTTTACATGTTTTCATGCAGCTCAATATTTTTGACAGTGTATCAAGCAGTTGCCCTGCGCACAGTGGGCCAAAATACCATTGACAAGCAGCCAAATTTGGCAGCTACCCATAGCAAAATATTCACTAAGTTTAAAAAAAAATTGCTCTTAATATTGCATATCTCCTATTAATATTGTCTAACATTTGGAAGAAATTGGTAGAAAGAGAAGCAGATACATTTCAGACTTTACTACTTTTTAAAAATAATTTCTACCATTCAGTAATTGTACAATTAATATTTTTTCAAGTTTTAAAAAAATATAATTTCTTAAATTTTCATCTTAATATTTTCATCTTTTTAAAAAAGGTACTTCCAAATTTTCAGGAATTATTTTCTGCATATTAAAACACAAAATTGTGATGTTTACAAACATGTTCTATGTCTTAAGAAACCTTTTCCGAATGCTTAAAAAAACTTTCGAATTTTCTACCATTCAATAATTATACAATAAATATTTTTTCAATATTTTCAAAAATATAATTTCTCAAAAAAATAATTCCATTTATTTTAAAAATGTACTCACAATTTTCAGGAAATATTTTATGCATTAAAAAAAAAAGTGTTTAAAAATATGTTCTACGTGTTAAAAACCTTTTCCGCTGCTTAAAAAACTTTCAAGTTTTTAGTCACTTTTTATTGTACATCTTTAAAAAAAATGGTATTCTTTGTAGAACACTGTTGTTGTTGTTCTAAATCGCCTAAGACCACTTTTTTAAGGAGAACTTTTAAATTTTTGGACCAATTTGAACTGTTTTTTTTTCGTGCGTGGCGCAGCTGCAGTAAGACAGCAAAAATTGATCCATGGCTTGGCAATTTAACTGCTTTCTATTTCTTGGTCGTAAAAGCAAAAAAACTTGGGTTTTATAAACAATTCCCTTTCGGCCATGCCACACCCACATGACTAACGCCCCTGCTGACTTTGTGCTGAACTGTTGCAATGGCCGTTTGTTTTGCTTATTCCCATTTGTTGCTTGCTTACAGCTGCCCAAATTTATTACAGCCACTGGAGAAAGCACAGCGGCAAAGTTGCAGCAACTTTTTCCATTCCCATTTTTTCGTTGGCCACTTGCTTCTGTCTTCCTCTCTCTTTCTCTCTCTCTCTCTCTCGCGCCTTTCTCTATCTTTATTGGGCAGTTTTGCATTTGTCGTTTGTATTTTGGCCTTTTGTCACAAAGCTTTAACACATAAAAATGTTATTGCCCGATATGTAGTTGTAGCTTATGCTGATTTGTGTTGACCTACAATTGTTGCACAGGCAAAAAAAAAACACAAAAAAAATAAACACAAAAAAAGGCTCGTGAAATGTGTTGGCTTTAAGGCT